GAGGGGCTGGGGGCTCCCAGTGGGCCAGGTTGTGGGGGGGAGGGGTTGGCTGCTCCGTGCCCAGGTTAAAGCTTGGCCTGCGGGGGAGAGGAGGAGCGGAGGAGGGGGGCAAAGGGAGAGCAGATCATGAGGCAGCGCTGCCCTGCTAAACTGCAAGGCCGGAATCTTTCCAAGCCATGGCAGCAAAGACACTGTGCCGAGGAAGCTCACAACAGTAGGGGGGCTGGGGAAGCTCAGTAAGAACAATGCCTCCGCCCGAGCCAGGAGCTGAGTTTGCTGTAAAGAGGCTCCAACCACCCACCGGCTGGGGGGGAAGGTCCCTGGGACCTCCCCCCCATCTGCCTCCTTCCCAGCCAGCGCCAAGGGGAGAGGCGGGGGGGCGGGCCGGGCAGACCCTTGCAGCCAGGGAAGCTCGCCAGCCTATGAGAGCCTGATGGGGGGGCTGTTTCCACCCCAGTAACCGCAGCCGGTGTCCTGGGGGAATCGCAGGGCTGGGGTCTGCTCCGGAACACTTCCAGGTGGTCCCTCGAATGGGCTGGGGGGGGACATGTGCAAGCCAGATGGGCCGCGTCCCACACAGGGGGGCCTCCGCGTCCAGCCCTGGCGCCAGCCGCCCCCAAAACGAGGGCTCGGAACCCAAAGGGGGTCCCGATCTAAAGTCCCTGCTTTGCGGAAAGGGCCAAGCCAAACCCCAGGACTGGACCAGGCCTTCAGGCTGTCTCAGTGCATGTGATGGGGGCTCCCGCCCTGACCCCCCAAGCACCCCCCAGCTCATGGCATGGGCTAGCCCTGCAACAGCCCTGCCCGTGGCCCTCCAAGGGCTCCTCAGTAATTTCACAGCCTGCTTTGGCGGCTGCAGGGTCTTGGCCCCTGGGCAAAGTCCCTTACAAAATGGCCCCCCCTTCCTGGGTAAAACCAAACACCACCCGTCCTCCCCGCTCAGCCGCTCCTCCGCCTGCTCTGGGCTCCGCTTCCCGGCCCTTCTCCATCCCTCCACTCAACCCCCAGGATCCTTTGGCCTAGTGCCTGCTCCTTCCCGTCAGCCACCCCAAGCCTTCCCCTCCGGGCACATCACGACTCCGCTGCAGCCTTCCCCAGGCCGCTGCTTTCCCCAGCCCGATGGGGCAACGTGAGTCGCTGGTCGCAGGCAGGCTGAAACCCATCACTGCCGAATAGCACCAGCCACCTTGGGAGTGTGTGATAACAGTGTAGCACTAGGGATGCCCTGCAGGGGGCAGTGCGTGATAACAGTGAAGTGTCAGGGGGTGCACTGCAGGGGGCAGTGTATGATCACAGCGCAGTGCAGAGGGCTGTCCTGAGGGGGGCGGTGTGTGTGATAGTGAAGCACTAGGGATGCCCTGCAGGGGACAGTGTGTGATAACAGTGTAGTGTTGGGGATGCCCTGCAAGGGGCAGCACTTGATTATGGTGCAGTGCTGAGGCCACAGTGTGTGATTATGGTGCAGTGCTGAGGGTGCAGTGCAGGGGGTGCAGTGTGTGATTACAATGCAGTGCAGGGGGTGGTGTGTGATTACAGGGCAGTACTGGGGTGCAGTGCAGGGGGCAGTGTGTGATTACAATGCAGTGCTGGGGGTTGTGTGTGATTACAGGGCAGTACTGGGGTGCAGTGCAGGGGGCAGTGTGTGATAACAGTGCAGTGCTGGGAGTGCCCTGTAGGGGGCGGTGTGGAATTACAATGCAGTACTACAGCAGGGGACAGTGTGTGATTACAATGCAGTGCTGGGGGTTGTGTGTGATTACAGGGCAGTACTGGGGTGCAGTGCAGGGGGCAGTGTGTGATTACAATGCAGTGCTACAGGAGCCATGCAGGGCAGTGTGTGATTATGGTGCAGTGCAGGGAGGGTGGTGTTGGGGGGCTGTAGCCCAGTCCCCCGTTGTAGTTTGGGGAGCAGTTCCACACACTAGTCAGCAGGTGGCAGCACACACACGGGTCTCGGAAAAGTTGCCCGCCAACACTGGCGGGGGTGGGCCAAGCTCAGCCCCCCCGGAGCGCAGAATCTGGTTCCTATTACAGTGCGGTGGGGGGGGCCGCTGGGGAGCCTGGGAAAGGAAACAATCCAGATCCAGCCTCCAGCTTCTGGAGATCCAGGGCCTTTCCTGTGCAGCTCAGCCCATTAACTCTTGGCGGGGCGGGGCAGGGCAGGAGGGCCCATCGCAGCCTTTCCGGCCCCGCCGTGGCGGCAGGGCTGAGCTGCGCTAGCTGGGCAAGGCTGTTCCGCTGCAGTGCGGGGGGTGCACTGGCTGCTGCCTGGAGCCAAGCCAAATAAAGCAGAGCCCCCTATTCTGGGGAGCATGGGGGGGACTGTGCCTCTCCTTCCCCGTCCCGCCCCCAGCGCCCCCCGCTGTGCACTGCACTCCCTCCCGCTGCTTGCTCTGCTCCGGGGCTGAACGGGGGCCTGCGGGGCAGCTGCCCGTGAGGCGGATTCCCGGCTACTGGAAGAAGCCAGCCTGGCTACTGCTTTGCTGGCTTTGGAGCATCCGTGGCCATCCTGGCCCAGGAATCCTCACCCGGCCGGGCACAGGCACAGCCCTGCTGGTGCAGCCGGGAGCAGAGCTGCCTGGGAACCCCCCCGGCCCCCACCCTCCCGGCCCCACCACCC